GGGGGGTCAGTGGGGGCGAGCCGGCGGGCGGTGGCGAGGCGGCGGACGGCGAGATCGAAGGCAAAGCGGGTAGAGGCGGGGGAAGAAGAGGACTTCGGGACGGAGGAGATGATGGAGAGGGCTTCGTCGGGATCGTACTCCCTGAGAAGGAGGGACTTGGCGGCGGAAGGGGAAAGCGGTGAAGAAGCAGATGAGGCTAAGGAAGTGTCATCAGTAATGGAGGAAGCGTTGCTTTTTGAGAGGCAGCTGACTATGAAGCGGGGTGGGAGCGAGTGTCGGCTACGGGCGACAGAGAGAATCGCCATTTTTTTTAGGGCTGGTATAACCTAGTAGGGTTTTAGGGTTGGTGGCAGGGAGAAGGAGCTTGGTGGACTTGATTTTAATAACTGTTATGTGCTTGTAGAGTTGTAGAGTTGTAGAGTTGTAGGTATTTAGGGTATAATATAAAACATATATAAATATTTTGAAATTTATTTAGTTTTGCTTAGAGGAAAATGAAATGCAAATAAAGTTTGGATGGATTTAGACTAAACACTTAGTTTATTTTTCATGTCTTTCAAATTAACCAATATCAAGTTAATTCGAACTATATATCAAAATTACATGCCTCGTGCGAACGAGTTTTGAGATTTTTTTATCTTTTGTTGGAAGTAAATCAGATGTTGAGATATTTAGACGAATAAAAAATACCCACTTAGGAGCAACTTGGTTAGATTGTAAAATGACTGTAAACAGTACAAAATGTTGGGTTTTGCCTTTAAGGTTAGTTTTATATTGAATTCATTTTACTTCAAATCAAACAAAAAAATAATCTTTTGCACTTGTAATTAACATTTAAAATATATTCTATTTACTTTTCTCTACATTTCTTTTTTAACAAACCAAATGGTCCTTAGTTCATTTTTTTAGGAATCGTAAATTCAATAAAATCGAGTTAAGTTGGAATGCACTGAAAGTGCAAGCCTCTCATGAAAAATTCATTTGCAAATTTTTTTGCATCTAGAAAACCTTGTCCATGAAGTTGTCTCCTTTGTGAACTTTTTATTGCTCTACTCTCAAAGAAGCTCTCACGAATCTCCTATCTCCATCATATGCTCCTCACAAACATTGTCAATTGGCTTAATGAAGCTCATGTAGAAAATCTGTTTTTCTCCTTCACATGTCAATAATCATGCCAACATGTACTTCCAGCAAAGCTCTTGTGATGGATCTTATCTCTTCACTGCTAGGCATAATCTATATTGTAGATGTCGGTCATTGCAAAGCATATCCTCTCCTTCACACATCATCAATTCCATCATTAATTTCAATAAGAGCTTTGCCCTTCAATAAGCTCGTGTCACTTCCATCCTTCTTTCAAGATCTAAGTTACGTTATCCTCATTTTTATTTTACTATTCCAAATCTAAATAATAAATATCATGAATTTTAAATATATTGCTTTTGATTAATAATACATTTAGATTATTTTATATTTCTAAACACTTATAGCAAAATAACCCCTTAATTTTTTTTAAATATTGAAAGTCTTAATAGCTCCATATTTTGGCAACTATTTTGATTCAATCTAACTAAGATATAAACAGGAAAAGATACTGCTAACTTATCTATCATACAAACTTCAACTGTGCAGCAAAACATATGCAATTATATTCATAAAAATTTCTGAAAAACTAAAAAAAGAAAGCACTTCTCAATATTCTCTCTCCAAAATGTCACTCTACAGTGAGGAGGAGGCAAAAGTAAGTAATTTGACTGATAAAATTTCTTAGAGAAACTGTAAAGAAGTGCTCATACAGCTATAAAAAGAAAAAAAAAATTGAATTAAACAGATGAACAATGCTCGTATATATTTCATTCCATTGCTTCTACTGATTGCTCAGAACATGTAAGGATTCTGCTAATTTATCTATCTTGCAAACTTCGAATGTATAAGCATATGCAATTTCATTTAAAAAATTCATAGAAAAACTTAAAAAAGAAGTAATGCTCAACATTGCCCTCCCAAAATATTACTCAACACTGAAGATAAGATAGTATAAAGCAAATCAACCAAGTAAAATCAGTACATGCATATGTAGAAGAAATCCACAAATAATTCTTAAAGAAACAGATGTATAATGCTCATATATATTTCATTACATATCTTATATTGGTTGGTCATGATATGAATAAATGTTGTTGACATATTTATCATGCAAAGTTCAACTTTGCATCAATGTCTACAGAATTTTTTTTATAAAGGTAAAAAAATAAATCTTTAAGAAACAAATGAATAATTATCATATATATTTCACTCTATAGCTTCTATTGGTTGAACATGATATGTATAGATGTTATTAGCTTATGTATCATGCAAACTACAACTTTGCAAGAAAGTATATGCTATTCCATTTGTAAAATTCTTACATATAGTAAAAAAAGATTTCTTAAAAAAACAGATGAACAATAATCATAAATATTTTATTTCATATATTCTACTGGTTTATCATGATAGGTATAGATGCTGCTAAATTATATATCATGCAAACTTCAAATTTTCATTAACACATGCAATTTCATTTATAAAATTATCTTATATACTAAAAAAGGTAAGCAGCGCTCAACATTCTCCCTCAAACATTACTCAATTTTATATAAGAGGCAAGTGCAATCAAATCAACCAACAAACATTAGTAAAAGCGTATGCAGAACAAGTTCAGAAAGAATTCTTAAAAACATATATACAACGCTCATATCATTTCATAGCTTCTACTGTTTGATCACAATTAGTATGGATGTTGTTAACTTATTTATCTTGCAAACTTTAACTTTGTATCAAAACATATGCAACGCGAGAAAAAAAAAACATTGGTTAGATGCTAATAAATCTCCCCTCAAAATGTTCATCAACACATATGCACGAGAAATATCAAGTTAATCAACCATCAAACTTTAATAGATAAACATGCAGAATAAGAAAAAAAAAATTCACAGAAGAAACAAAAAGAAACACAAAGATAAGCAGCAAATAAATCACAAATAATAATAATAATAATAATAATAACAATAAGGAAAACTTCATCGGAGATAAATAGTAAATCGATGGCGCTAACAACAAAGGGAGGGGGGAAGAACTGAGTTTCAACCATAATGACGCATGTGACAATGGATGAGAGTAACAAGGGATATATGTGAGGATAAGTGAGTGAGATTACCTGAAATTTTGAAGGGGCAACGACGTCTGTGGCACTATGCAACAGTGCTCCAGCAGCGAAATACACTCTCCCACTTTCGTTTCAGCGTTCGACTGAATGCGGCCCCTCATCCACGAAACACTTGAATAAAAAAAGTTCCCAAACGCGACTTCTCCCATTCTGAAACGTAAAAGCCGCAACAATGAGGTCTCCAAACGGGGCCTATAAATGGAGTTTTTTAGGAAGAAAATAATTAGGGATTAGGTAACTATATTTAAATTTTAAATGTTTTTTTAAAAATTATTATTATATGAATCTTATGTTTCATATTTATATTTTTTTTTAAATTATTATTAAAATTTAAAATAAATGATAATTTATTATAATATTATTAATTTAAATATGTATTTATTATATGACTTTTAAATAAATTTATAATTTATTATGTTATGCGATGGAACCCCAATCTAACATCGGTTCAACTTTTAAGACTTTAAGATCTCCCTCTATGGATTCAATGTCTGACCCAACTTTCAGAACTTTGAAACTGCCAATGAAATTATATCAAAAATTGTCATTAAGCTCAACATTACCAAACTAATAATAATTATTATTATTATCATAAGTGTATCAAAAACGTTCTCCAAGACGCATAGAAGACAACTGAACGTGCGGTTAAGATCTTCTATTGCAAGTGGGATTCAACCCATCGAACGGTTCTTATGCACACCCACCAAATTCCATCCAAACTAGGGTAGCTGCCGAAAGGAAAGTGCAGCCAGCTTGTGTCGGTGGAGAGCATCGGTCAAAGCCAAGAGAAACTACATTGGCATCTGCCCAGATTTATTACTATATTAGTTTAAAAAGTAATTACAAAAAAAGATAGAAAATAAAAAGGCAATTTTACAGATGTAGCCCCCATTTCTTGAGAAAAGTTTGCGTACGTAAGACGTACGCAGCGCTGCGTACGTGGGTAGACTATATGGAGGGTATCGGGGGTTGTATCCGAGTTATAACCCATGTAACCTCCCTGTAACCTACAAATATATGTAAACAAAATCGCGAAACTTACTAGTTACAGGTAGGTTACAGGGGGTATAACGCGGATATGACCCTCAATATTCTCTCTGTAATCTATTTGACATACTCAGCGCTACGTACGTCTTACGTACCCAATTTTTTCTCCCATTTTTAATTTATTTTCATATCTCACTTCAAAATTTTCATTTTCGGACATCCAATTCTTTCATATCACATCAAAAAACAATGCTAAAACACTTTTTAATGCTTAAATCCTCTTTTTCATACTTAGATAAGGTTATTTTAGCTATAAATATGAAAGTTCAAATGTGAGATATAAAGCCATAAGAATTAGATGTTACATATAATTTTTAGTTATCCTTTTTTTTAAGAGTATCAATTTTTATCATGATAATAAATTAAAGCTCTATATTTTATAATTTAATGCTAATTATTTTAAAATTTTAAAAAATTAAGGAAAATTTATATGCATATCATTCCATTCATGTGTATGTATATATCTAAAATCAAAATTTCATCATTAATATATATATA